TGAATATTCATTTACAATTATCAGAAATTTTTTGACTAGCTTAAACTTCGCGAGACGCAATTAAATTAAGCAAAATCAATATTTTCATTTTAAGTAAGCTGACATTTATATTACGTATCTAAAGTACTCAAAAATCTACCATTAATAAGATAGGAATATATTCCTGTGTCGTGGTGTATTTTACAAAGATTCATTAAATTGACACAAAGAACTACAGGACTCAGAACAATAGTTTGTGGATCACGCGGCGACGCCAACCGTGCAGTCCGCAATTTAGTGCTTTGGTAGTGACATGATGAAAATGAAAACAATAAAACATCATCACCAATCGAATTAGACATTAAAAAAAAACTACTTCATAGCAGTTGTCCAGCAGTTGTAAATTCTAAATTGTTTTCAAATTAAATTGAAATAATAGCCTCTGTTCTGATGTTTTTATATAGATAGACAAGATATACATTTGTATAAAAAGCCGTGTGGTGTCGTGAGACACCCGATAGGAACGAAGTTGTGACGATCGAGTAAAACTGATTCGACACGATTTTAATTACAACGCCATCTATGAAAGCGGCTATTACCTACATATTTTTCAGTTGGTTTCTAATTAAAACAATTTATACATTGGTAAAATCTCCTTGAGAAATGATGTCGAATACAATATTTTTTGCTCAACCTAAGAACATACATTTTAATTTTACTGAGATGAAAAGTAATGATTTTCTATCTATTCGATAGATGGCGCTGAATGACTGACAAGTGACAATTCAAAATAAAAAGTGTCGTTACAACTTCTCGTGAGATTTTTTTCCGTCTAGCCCCCTTTCACAACGCGCGATAAGGAACTTCGTTCCAATAAAATATAAATTGTTTTGGTATTTTTCATGATGCATTTACCTACACTATAACAACACATTTATTTTATTAATAATAATTCATTTCAATTATTTGAAATTACTTGAAGTTACAACCAGGTGGTACTGCCAGTGGTCACGGACTCAATTTATGACCCGTAGCGGTTTGCTTTTCTAACGTTCTAAATCCTGCCATTAATTTAGAATGGGATTTTAGAACTGCGCCAAAATTTAATTAATCCTAGTTAATAGTGTTTTTAGTAGGTAATACTGAATTTTAATCGTATGAATCTATATGTTTACAAGTAAAATCTAAAAAATTAAAATGATAGCGAAAATGACAGAAATGTATAAGTACCTACGATGTTCCAGTAATTACTAATCGAATATTAGATTATGTACTGAACCGTGAAGTCACGTTTCGTAATACACGGGTTATGTAACAGTTATGTATATGTACATTAACTTTATATACTCATCTTTTAGCAAAAATTGTGCACAGATGCTCAAGCTTTATTGGAGTCCAGGGCAGGCAGAGACGCTCACATACAGTTTGAACTTCTTTCACATTTATCACACCTTTGATAGAGCCTCGCCGGTTGTGGGTGCTTTTATCTTGGCCCTTATTTACTTAATTGCCTTATATTATTTGACTGCCTCAGTGGTGCAGTGGTAGCATATGCGACTGCTGTTCTGAGGTCTCGGGTTCGATTTACGGATAATGTTTATATGATCTGCAAATATTTGTTTCAGAGTTTGGATGTTTTCTATGTAGTATATGTATTTATTTACAAAAAAAGTATGTAAGTATTCTATCAGTCAATCTAGCTTTCATAGTACAAGCTCTGCTTAGTTCGAAACTAGATGGCGTTGTGTGTAAGATGTCCGAAGTATTATTATTATTAGGATTGCAAATTACTTCAGCCAATCTGCTCTTCCGCCATCCCTTCATGATGCTCAAACCATCTTCGAATCGCTGTCTCAAAATTAATTAGTACAGCCTTCCCTTTTAAGGGTGTTCAAATAGTCTATCGCATTCATATAATACGTCTAATGTTTTAATGTTCAAATGCGTTACATAATTACTTTAATACTGAATGAATATCACTGCAAGATAGGGTTTTAAAATTATTACTATCATTTTATTTTTAAAAAGTACCTAAACATAGTTTTCTAAAAGATTTTATTCACTGCCACTAATTTGTGCTTAATCTGTGCCATAGTAATAATGTTGAAAAGCCTTGTGAACCTAACCTTTTTAAGTTTATATTCCTTTTGTTATGATGTATAAAGAAAACTAGCTTTTCAACTAATAAAACATTGTCATAATTTAATGCGATTCGAAACAGTACGGCTGAAATATCGCATATCGCATTAAATTTCGAAATATTGTATCGTTCTGTTCCGATATATCGATGTGTCACATCGTATCGTTTATTCGTATTTTTATTAAAGTACGTGAAATTTGCATGTAGAGGTGGAGAAAGCTCGAATTTTTATTCGATTTTGGTATAAAGTTGAAAATGACTAATATGGGACAAATAAAGATGATTTGATTTAAATGTTTAGTTAATTAGCTGATATAAAATAACGTCCTACACTTTAACACTCGTTTAAAAAAATATCAATTTTTTTACCCATTAAGCACTTTAGATTAATGAGTTAATAAATAATGTTACCTCCTATAATTTACGTAATTGTAATCACTGAATAGCATTAAAATTTAATAACACCAAAGTGGTATGGGCGTGTAAGTTACTTGATAATATAATATATGATTACCGCAGACCTTGGAAAAGAAGCAGTCTTGATTGTGTGATGAAGAACATGGTTGCACTGTGTGATTTTCTTAGATCACAGGGTTTTTTTAAACTGGTAATTGCTAGGTGTGAAGGTGCGACGGATGATAATATTGAACCTAATGCGCAAAGGTAGACTCGAATGTAATTCAGCTCTTTGAGTTTATAATTTTTTGGGAACGTGAGATTTTTTAGTAAATTAACCATTCATCATCATCACATCAACAGCCTTTAACAGTCCACTGCTGTGGACTATGATACTATAGTAGACCGGACTGTGATTTATAGTAGACCAAAACCTCCTTTCTAAGGCTCTCCTTAGAAAGGAGGTTAAGGAGGTATAGGGTTTGTGTCAACTCGGAACGTCATCTCGCAGAAGGAGCCTCCACTCGGACCCAATCCGTCGCCGGCGAACCGGGCGGCGGAGGCGCGCTTATCACCGCCTTATGCCGCCCTGCGTGTGGCCGCGGACGGGACGGGTTTTCCCCTCCACCTGCCATAAGGGCCAGCCGCGAGGAGGGGACGTCCGCGTGTGCCGGACGTCGCCTAAACAGAGAATGTACCTGAAGGTGGTGCCCGCATCGTTGCGGGCAGGCGCTAGGGTTTGTGTCAAGTTTTCCTTCTCTCTGCAGTGCTGTTGTTCTGCATAGTTTTTTTCCCTTAGTCTGCTCTTAGTTTTTTTTAGTGCGTAGTAGGATCCAAATCATAAGAAGCTAAACGGCTATACGGAATATCGGTCAAAACGATATAACATTTTATTTTTTTATGTCATAAGGGGGCAAACGAGCCAACTACCGCCGCCCATGGACACCTGCAACTCAAAAGTCACAAGTGCGTTGCTGCCCTTGGAGTCCCTCCCCCTCGAGTCAGGGGGGATTTGGGCTCCGGTAACCTCACTGACTCAGTGAAAGGCAACGAAAGAATTGCTTAACACCGGATTTCGGTATCAGTCCGGTCGAGCCGGCCCATTCATGCCGAAGCATGGCTCTCCCACGATTACACATATTACTTTCGATGAGTGTATATGAACCTGATTTAGTCCCTGTATTATAATAATATCAAACTTGAAATATCAAAATAATAATATTAAACTTGCTCATTTTCGATTCTGAGATTACTGGTCAGCCAATGACTAGAAATTAATGGACTAACTGACAACAGCTGCGTTTTAGTGAATTCTAAAACACCAATCGTTTTATCGATTTCATAAAAGAACAATAAAATGTTACAAACACATAGTTAAAGTAACTTTTTTAGTTCATAATCTATATAAAAAACTTTACCCGTACCGTCCAAAATCAGGTTACTAGAGACTCTGAAAATGGTCTACACAGTCATACATATAATGAGCTAAAGCTCAGAAGAGATAATAACGGATAATGTCATCACATTTCATTTACAATTGTATTTTCTAGAGTTATTTTCCAATTTTCAGCTCTATGCGGCTTATTATACTTACGATACCACTTTATTTTGGTCTAAATATTTGCTTCGACTTTTAGTATAATCTTTTAAGATGTGAACATTATTATTCGTAGTTTTATATAAGAAAATTCTGTATAGAATACTACTGACAATGCATCTTTAGCACCACAAAAAGTCATAAATATATATTTATTACAACCTATTGTTTTAAAATAATATAGCATTACCATAATGTATAAAGGTTTTAAATTAAAGCATGTCATTTAAATTTTTATGACCACGTACGCTCGGGCAATGGAACTGGCATCCGTCAGTATATGACTTGGAGATAAGAATATAATTCATAGCACAATCCAAGGCAAACATAAATATTTTATTAAGTGTAAAGTTATATAAGATTTAGGGTGACATACAGAGTGATCGATGATCAAACCTTTAATCTATTTGATCGAATGAAATGAAAAAATATATTTAGGTAATCCTCAATCTGTTTTTTTCTTGAAGATCACCAGCCCTTTAGCCCGCCAGTTAATGATCTTCTTGATTTTAGGTGCATATTTCTATACTAATAGATTACCAGTATTTATGTAACGGTTTTGACTGTATGTTTTTTGTATTTTCTAAAAAATTCGGACTTATGCTAAAAATACTTTAAAAATCATTTCTCTTCAGTCGTTATTCAAACTCCGGCAGCACAACAATTCTCCCTCAAAATAGATATCAAAATATAATGGTCTCAAAACAGCCTTAGAGCTAGAAGCCTCAAAATCTCCCGCCACAAGAGACACAAGAACTCTTTAGAATGTTACACACTGCAAAAACTCCGAATCGAATTGGGAAAATGGCAGAAACATGATGATGAACAACAACAACAAAAACAACGATAAAACTAATCAGAATTCATTCTCAATTTCTCTTTTTTTAGGTCCTGGTGTGTTGAAAAATGCCAGCATCAGTCCTCGCATGATGCAGGAACTACAAATTGCAATACACCGGGTGAAAAGTAATGGACAGATTGTACGGAAACTGGTGCCGGTCGAGAATGCACCGAAGATAATAGCTGGGGATAAAATTATAGGTGAGTTAAATGTTGCCTAATTATCTATAGTTACTTAAAATAACATGAAACTAGTACGGTAATAATCTCGTATTTTATTATTTGAAGCATGGTCATGTTGTTTTAATGGTTACTGACCCTGACTGCTAAGCAGAAAGGATGAATCGAAGGAAGAATTTGTCCTGTGTCTGGCTGTAATTAATTATTAATCCGCGATGTGTATGTATTTAAAATATTAGGTATGTTAATCATCAGTACAGTTACCATAGCAAAATCTGATCCCAAAATAGGCAGATCGTCTGTGAGATCTGTGAAGTTAATATTTAGTTATACATCTTAGGCGGGTATTGATCTACAAACCCCTAAAGATAATCTCATTTTTATTTTGAGCGAATCGTATGTTCAACGCGGCAAATCGAAGTGTTGATATAGACTAAGCGCACTCAAACGTGGCCAACATATTTACAGGTATCCATAGGCGTTGGTAGTCACTTATCGTCAGGTGACCTGACTGTTCGTTTGACTCTTGGACCATAAAAATAAACAGAGGCTTCTTAACCAGGTTTTCGTCTTGGCTTTGAAGATGGTTACTAACAACAGTTATCCATGCCAAGTGTGAAGTGTGTCTGTCTGTCTGTTGCCTCTCCACGCTTAAGCCGCTGAACTGATATAGATGAAATTTGGTATAGAGATAGTTTGAGTCCCGGGAAAGGACATAGGATAGTTTTATCCTAGAAATCATACTTTAAGGGGGTGTAAAGAGGGTGGAAGTTTGAATGGGGAATCAATAACCGCTGAACCGATTAACATAAAATTTGGTATGGCGATAGTGTGAGTTATGGGGTAGGACATTGGCTACTTTTTACCGCGATAACTGATATACACGCGGACGGAGCCGCGGGAAAAACTATATCATATTATATTTATCGAAACCGATATCTATAAAATCAAATGTCTCTCGTCTTTATTGAAGTCACGACTGACAAAAGCTCTGCATGTTAGTAAATATGCTCATCGTTTATTTCAATAAGTTTTCGTTCTTTACATACACACAAGGAAATTCAGTTCGTTAACCAATTTTTATACTTACATTGTTGAAAATAAAACTGCCGATATCGTATTTCTTCACCACCATTTTTGTTTTTACTTTCATCTCGGAAAACTGATGACACACATCTCACTGCGGCAGATGTGTTCACTGTTGATGTTCCTTTTGAATGTATAACGCTTTTTTGTACGTTACGTTTTTTTTACATGAGATATGTTTCTTACAGTTTTTTTTTAGTTTTGGGTAAAAAAATAATACCTTGAGACATCTCACACACGAACGTCTGATCACAAGCTAAGCAGAGCCTGTGCTACGGTAACCAGACCACCGATAAAAATATACCTATATGTTTTTAAATACATACATGTTATAGAAATGTTACATCCAGACACAGAACAAATTATCGTGCTCATCACACAATATTTGCCCTGGGTGGGCAGGCACGTCAACTTATCAACAAACTAGAAGTATTGGTGTTGATTGTGAGCTCCGATTTCCGCATTTAGACTCGAGAGTGGTTATTTATACGTCTAAGAGAGGTTGACCAGGTGGGCCAACCATACTCCTTCGTAGAAGCGCAGAAGCCTCCGGGGACGTTCATAGGCTTCTAGATGCGACTTTGTACCAGGTATGGTACTTGTCCGTTGTGTGACCATTCCCTTGGATTCCAGGATTATGTGGGTGGCCTTCAGACATCCTCTGCAAAGAGGTCTGTCGGTCGCAATAGTTGTCGCTTAAGGGGTAGGTGTCCTGTTGTGGTTCCTATGACTATTCGGATATCTAGTCTGCTAAGACTGATCAGTCTGCAAGTAAGTCGTAGTGAGACTTCAGTCAGCACTGTTTTCCACGTTCGGTTGTGCGCTTCACGAGTACGCTGTCTAGCTTAGGATCGAAGTTGGTTAAAAAACAGTGGCAGGAGTGTGGTTGGGCCGACGGCCGGCATTGCCGAACCCCTCCTTGCCAGCTCATCTGCAGCGTTATTCCCGAGTGAATTACTATGCCCCTAATCCACTAACTAATCCCCTAATCCACTAACTAATCCATTGGAGGAGTACCCCATTTATTGTGGGAAGCTGCTCCAATGCTTGATGGCATTCGAAGACGATACCAGAGATTATTGTCTAGCCCTCCAATGCCTTTAGAACGGCCATGATTAGAAGTATATAAATATGTTTATCGGCAGACTCGTCACGACCGAGTGTGAGGAATGTGACGTTATTATTATTATTTGATTAGACCAAAAAGCTCCTGTAGTTCTAGAGTTTGCTATCAGAGGATAGATGAGATATCAAATGCTACACATCATATGCCACTACTGTAATGCTTGCTCTTATTTTTTATGAAAACACTTCTTAAATAACAATAAATAAATAGGAATAGTGAGCAAACGAGCAGACACGTCACCTGATGGAAAGCGACTACCGCTGCCCACTGCACGCCTGCAACTCAGGAGTCACAAGCGCGTTACCAGCCTTTGAGGAAGGAGCACGCTCTTTTCTTGAAGGTTTGGAGGTCGTATCGTTCCGGAAGTATCGTAGCCGATAACTAACGTATTTTAAAATATTCATTAACAGCCTTTAATAAGCCACTGCTGGGCTTACTAGCCTCTTCTTATAAAGGAGGTTTGGCCCTACCATACCACGCGTATAGACCTTGTTTCAAGATTTCCTTCTATCTGCAATGCTGTTGTCCTGCGTATTATAATAGTGGAATACTGTAAGATTCAGGTATATTAATAAAGTGTTTTGTAATAAATAATTTCGAGCAATGACTCAACCAAAATCTATTTGTTTTAGAAAGAAATTGCTCACGCATCACAAATTCTTTATCTGTAACAAATTCAATAGTGCCTAGTATGTGACAACGACCGGTAGCTGTCTGCGCTCATATTTTATTCATACCATGATACAAGTTTGCAAAATTGTCCCGTAACACATGTACATACGACTTTTCTTAAGGCTTTAGGGTTTGCATGTGGAATAAAGGATTTTTATCTCTTTTGCCTTAAAGTAAGAAAGATATCGTTCATTGACTCAAATTATTGTTAATTAATTTTTTTTTATTTAATATCTCTGTCGTCACGTCGGAGCTACCATTGTGGAATAACGGGTGCCATGTTCGCCCAACACAAAGGGAGGACCCTCCGACCAGGCTTATTGTATTGTATTTTGAAAACTAATACAACCTATATTTTAAAATTGATGATAATGTTTAAGTTAGTCGATATTTTAAAAATTAGTATATCGATTTCAATCTGAAGAAGAATATACCATTTCATATTTACTCATGTACCTACATCATGAGTAAATATGGAAGGTGGCACATGGAAGGTGGTACCACTTTTTTACAAGTTAATTATCAACATCGTAGTGAGGTTTAAAAAAGAGTTTATTTAAAAAATGTTACACAAAAAACGCCGTTGTCTCCCACACAACACATAAAATAAAGGGGTAGGCAAGACTAAATATAACAGAGATTCACCATTCACGTCTGAAACTTCAGAATATTCACATATAAACATTTGGGGTCGTAAAGAAAATATTGGTAGGTGATATGAAAACTAATGTTGTTGTGTTTGAATCTTTTATCACAATAAGAAAAATAAGACAAACAGTCAAACGATTTATTGTGACAATTGAAGGTAGTACTGTTTTATTTTTAGCTATGAAAAAATTGTTCATGAACGCAAGATAACTTTGCAATAGCACGGATGGCGTAGTGGTTTAAGCGGTCGCCACACCGCTTCCTACTACACCGAGTGTTGTGGGTTCAAACCCCACATGGGACGACACTTTGTGTGATCCACAAATTGTTGTTCTGAGTCTGGGTGTTCTTTGTGTCCGTTTCATGTATGTTTGTCAAGTACCCCGCAACACAGGATATATGCGTAATGCGGGAGTTGTCTTTAAAAAAAAAAAACCTTATTCCTCAATAAGTTTAACGATAAGTGTATATTCCAATCTGTTCAACTGTAAGCGTGTTTAATTTTGTGTTTTATACTTACTTCTGTCAATTTATGAATAATGTTGTGAGCTACAAAATATTTAAGTACAATATTTGATAGGATTATTTTGTAAAAAAACCCTATATAGATAACTTTAAAAGTAAAACGTTATCCAAATTAAAAAATGTGGTCCAAACCCTTGTAGTCATTTCTGAGGTACACCACATAATATATTCGTGTATACTATAATTTGATAATTAAAGTAATTAGCTATTTGAAGACATATCGGAAACCGGTCTTGACGGTGAGCGGGCCTAATTCCCCGTCAACTTTGAGTTAATTCAACATAAGAGAGTCCAAATTAGCATGTTGGTCTAGTGGTTAGTGACCATGACTGCTAAGCCGGAGGTCGGGTGTTCGATTCCCACCCAGGACAAATATTTGTGTGATGAGCCCGATCGTACGTTCTGTGTCTGGGTGTAATTTATCTTTAATACTAGCTGACCCTGCAAACGTTGTTTTGCCATATACATTATTTCATTATTTTTTATCAAAAAAAAATATATTAGGGGTATGAAAAATAGATGTTGGACGATTCTCAGACCCACAAAATTTTACGAAAATCGGTCGAGCTGTTTCGGAGGAGTTCAACTTCTAACACCGTGACACGAGAATTTTATATATTACATGTATGTATTTAAAATTTATAAGTATGTTTATCGGCAGTCTGGTTACCATAGCACAGACTCTGCCTGGTTTGGGATCTGACGGACTGTGTGAGATGTGTGAGGTTATTATAATAATACCTAATACCGGCAAATACAGAGGTGATAATGTGTAAATATTCATTTTACAGTCATTACTGTGTCAAGAAATTTATGTCTTATGCAATATCTTTTATAATTCAAAATTATTAATTGCATTGAAATTTTCTAATTTTATTCTCTATTTTCAGACTTAAGAAACAAGAAGACAGTTTTTTATGCTGTGGGGTTCCTAGACAGCTCGTATTATCCGTTCTCACAAGCTATTGGCACTTCTTACTCTAAGAGGGGCTACAACGTGTTTATATCGGAAACCTTGGCGTTCCTCACTTATATTTATCCAAAGTAAGTAAACTACTGTTTATCATTCTAGTAGTAAATTATTATTCTTATCATCAATTCATGCAGATGCCTTTAAGCTCCCGTTGCCAAGTAAAATTGTACACAGGAACCTTAAATACCTTTTGAAATCGAATAACTCGAGTAACCTAAAACCCTATACAGCTCAATACTAACTTGCCGATTTTTATTCAATAATCAAAGCTCTCTCTTTATAATTTTTTTACATCTCGTTTACAATTTCGGTCCATTCAAACATCGAATGTTATCAAAGATAACTTCCAATAATCTATAAAAAAACTATGTCAATGTTGTTTCTATTGCAATACAATACAATAATTGCTCGTTCGCACGTATAGATTCAACATCTAAAAGACTGAAATCTATAGTCGATTTGCTTTCATGACTATCAATGCGTACACTGTTTACAAATGAAAACCCTTCCGTGACCGGAGGGGCACGAACTGTTCCGGATATCGGTGATAAAGCTCGATTTGTGTGGATATCAGAAATGTGTCTAAATTATATCATGCAATGCATAACACAGATGTCGGATGAGATAAAGTAATTCATAATGACCTGATACTCTTTCATATATTTAATAACATAGTGAATGTTGTTCAAAACTGTTCTTATTTTTACACTCTTGAGAATGAATCATTTTCCTTCAAATTCAACCTCCAAGAAAAGAACGTACTCCTTTCTTAAATGCTGGCAACGAGCTTGTGACTCCTGAGATGCAGGCGTTCATGTTCGGCGGTAGTCGCTTTCCATCAAGTGACACGTCTGCTCGTTTGCCCCCTATTCCAGAATAAAAAATGTTTTTCCATATTCGTTTATAAATAATGGAGTCCTGAGTTAAAAAACTAAAAAAAACAACGGGATTGAGACCCTATCCGTTCTTTGACTAAAAATCAACTATTCGACAATTACTAGCTTCTGTAATAAGAAAACTCTAAAAAATTTTCCCTAACTTGTTACTGTTATTGTATCACAGGAAATACGTGGGTCCTAGGACCTAGGTGGTATCTCTAGCCCTAGCTTTTTTTACATCGTTGGCATACGAGTATATGGGGCACCTGCCGGAAAGTGACTGCAGCTGCTCATGAACAGCCGCAACTCAGGAGTCACAAGCGTGTTTCCGGCCCTTAACGATGTTATTTTCTTAAAGGTTTGAAGTTAGTACCGGTCCGGAAATACCGCACGCGACAATTTGTTCCACAGATTGGTTAAGCTACCTTGCCCTATCCGTTTTCCTTATCCTAATTTACCTTTTTACTCCTTTGAAAAAAAAAACTGCCAAGGAGATTTGGAGGCACGATTTTGCCGACCATAAAAGACATCAGCATAAACCCTTTGAAATAAAACACGACGATGTATTTAATGAGTTAATTTATTGTGAAACCTTTTTTAATAGGTTAGGTTTGATGTTTCAACATTTCCATCCTAGAGATAACTATGGTAAAACTTTTACAGCTATCTGATATGGTATCTCCATATTACTGATGGTGGAAGTTTTAATAGGCGGTGTAACCATTTCCCCATGAGACTTACTGTTTGCCTTTGTGGTATATCAAAAGCCAGTTCATTTAATTTTAGGAGGACGTTATAAAATAACCGAATTGCCCATTATTTTCATTTCCAATATTTTTATGGCACTCGTTATTAGAAAGGTCACCTCATTTCGAATTGAGGTAGAATTTAAACCATACATTATTAATTTTAAATATTTTGTGTAATACGTTTGATCAGTTTTAGTATCACTGCAGGAAAAAATTCTGCACTGTTTTCGCATATTTCTTAAATGTAATGAAAAATTTAGTTAAAAAAATTAAGAGTTCCGTACTTTCTTTTATAAGTAGAAATTTTAGGTGTTAAAATTTTCACATTTCCTCGTCCGCTAAAATGATTTCAAGAAAGTTTAAAGAAATTTTTGCCTCTCAAAACCAATCTGTAGAGCAAGTTATCGTCTGCGGTATTTCCGGACCGATACGACCTTCAAGAAAAGAGAGTACTCCTTCCTAAAAGGCCGGCAACGCGCTTGTGACGCCTGAGTTGCAGGCGTTCATAGGCGATGGTAGTCACTTTCCATCAGGTGACCTGCTTGCTCGTACCACTTCCATAAAAAAAATCTTCACGTATTATATTTTCTTACGATAAAGCAAACGGGCAAAGGAGCAGACGTGTCACCTCAAGGAAAGTGACTACCGTCGCCCATGAATACCTGCATCCTACTACTACTACTATCTACCTCAGGAGTTAGCGCGTTTCTGGGCCCTCACCATCATTATCAACGGCCTTTAATAGTCTACCGCTCGACATAGGCCTCTACTTAGAAATCAGGTTTTGGCCTTCTATACCACGCTTGCCACACGGGTTGGTATAAGGTTTGTGTCAAGTTTACCTTCTGGTCCTTAATAAATACATATAAAGCAGTGTAATATTAGTCATGTGAGTAGAGTGATGGACAACGACTAGCAAATTATCACAAACCCATCTCAAAACGGATCGCCCTTAATACACACAAGCGATCACAACTGTCATAGATAACCTAAACCCACGACAATCGTCCGTGTGACTGACGCCTTATCTCCCTATTTATTCCTGTATGAATTCCGACTGTATACTCCAAATTTATAGGCATGAGGTCTCCGGTTCGAATCTCGGACGATAAATTCAACCCAACTTTGGAGATACAGAGATAGAATTAGAGAGATACGAGCTCGAGGTCCCTTAAAAACTAATAGTTGCCTGCAAGTTAGAGATATTGCTATAGATATGTTTCTTCTAAGAATGGGTAATTTAATCATGACTTTTTATATTTAGTATAAACTTATACTAGTTTTAGGTGATAAGGCCCAGACCTTAACCTGCTCGGACTATTACTTAAACTCCCCAATCCACTCGTATAAGCGGTATAATTTACAGTCGATTGTCGGCATTTGATAAAACTTGTTGAAATACGTTATATCTACTATTTAATTTAATTTGGATTGACCGGTTTCGCTTTATGGCAATATATAAAGTGAAATCGTTCAGGCCAAATTAAATGAAATAGTCGAATAAAAGTACAAGTGCATTTATTTTATAACTTTTAAGGAGTATTCCCATCTTTCCAATCTCATCCTTAAATTGTTCAATTGACGCCAATAGGCTCCAGCTCCCTAATACGCAAGCGGATACCAAAATTTAAAGTCGTTAAAATGTGGACGTTTTAATGCGACTCAGTCCAATTCATCGGTTAAATACACTTGAGTGTATGTACATATGTATAGTAGTACACATAGTTTCCGATCAACTTATAGTTCAATTTAAACATTTGTTTATTGGATACACATAAAATCTGATTTTATATTGAATTAGTAGATCAGAGTTTATCTTGGCAAATATCTCAAGTGCTTTGGTATAATTTAATTAAGTTTTCCAGATGAATGATGATGATTGGTCGTTTGCATTTCAGTGACTTGAACATGACTTTCAATAAATAAATGACAATTCCAAATTCTGAATTTAAGAAAATCATTGATTTCCACATAGGTCGTTTTATGAGTATTCTTCATGAACTGAATGAGTATTACATACACAGAAATATGCGGCGCAAATAAAATATTAAACTCTTTTATGCATTTTGTTTAAAAATATGTACGTATAAATTTTGTATTACAATTCGGCAATACTATGCAGCTTCCTAAAACAACAGACTAAGTTCTTAACACTACAAATATTCGGCTAGCTTATGAATTGAATTGGAAATCCACCTGGAGAGGCAATTATTGTACACCGTCGGGAACAATTGGAGGTATTAACAGCTTAACGGCTATGGGCGATTCTTAGGGTTGGGACATGCACTTCGAAATATCGATGAATATTTAATTATATAAACATTTCTCACCATAAGCTCCAACTCCTGAGTGAACTTCTAGCTGAGTACATAAAGTAAAAAAAAATGTTCAACCGCCATTCAATATGTAGATAATATAGAATATAGAACTAACAAGGTTAATAAAAGCAAAGAGAAAAAAAAATCTTCGACGAATCTAATAAAAAAGTTCTATGACAGTTATTTTATAGTCATAACAACAACAGCTATCTAACTAGTTACCTACAATTTTAGAAATTGATATTATAAAACAATTTATCAACTACAGAAATACAGTAAAAAAAGTATAAAGTAAAGGGTAAAAGTATAAAATAATTTTATTTTAGAACTAACATAGTTCTACAAAAATTGTATTAGGCAAAATTTTGGCAATTTTTATAAAAAATCTTAAAGTCCAATGTCTTGAAAATGGTTTGGTAAGGGATATGGTATTTCATAGTGAATCAAAAATAATGCAACTATAACCCCTTAATGATTTAGGTCGACTTACCCACTAATCCTGTATATAATTAAATAAAATGAACAATTATTAAAGATCATAATTTTGCTTCAATCACATCATTCAATATACTCTCAATTTCACGACCACGGTCTTTGAAGGTGTGGCATCTTTCCCGACCTAGTGTTCGAGAAGACGTAGTAGTATAATTATACTAAAGTTAAGCAATTTGAAGTTAAAATATCGATAGATACATGTGTCAGATATTTACAATTCCAATCCTTACGGGTGTGTTTAAGCTTATGATCTGTTTGCGCAGATGAAGGATTATTGCCTGTTATTGCATATCATTTTGACAAATTGGTTTTTAAGCCGATCTTGACGTATCACAACAAAATGTTGGTCAAATGAATATTTGTCCTCTCTATTATTAATTTAAGTTTATACTAAGGGATCAAATAAGCTTAGAATCAATAGCGAGTCTTAAATCAGGTATCGAGTTAGCAGTGTAGTTTAGAGACCGTATTTATTTAGAACAATAGTCTAAAATAATACATTCATTTCAATTGTTCTCAAAACTCAAAATTAATTTTTAAAATGACCGCTTTTCAATGGTTGAGTGTCGAGAAAATATGTGATCGCTCTTTGAAGTCTGTTTCGGCACAAAAATTCATTCCAAAGATTCTTTCAACAGAATGCTGAATTTGTTTCTAAGATATTTTATTATATAATAAGAGTTATTTCGTGGAATTATGAACCATCATACACACCAAGATGTCAACATAAATAAGCAACACAAAAACTTTATTGAGAAACCATTATACAAGTCCGAGAGATTTGCTAAAATATGGAGATGAATAAGTTTAAATTTAGTAAGGGAGTGAACTACCTACTTACTTACTACTTTACGGTTTACTACATTCCTCTGAATTAATGAAGTCATCATCATTAACAGCCTTTAACAGTCCACTGATGGACATAGGTCTCTCCTTAGAAAGGAGGTTTTGGCCTACTATACCACGCTAGCCAGACGGGTTGGTATAGGGTTTGTGTCATGTTTTCCTTCTCATTGCAGTGTTGTTGTCCTGCGTAGTTTACTCCCTTAGTCGGCTCTTACGACACCCACGGTATGAATAGGGAAGGTGACACTCCGTATTCTGAATCCGTCACCACACTTATTCTAATCAAGTAACTATTAATATGTCAATGTTAAACTGTTTCCGGTATGAGCAATCTGTTCATTGTGTACTCTTCAAGCGTATTGTTAGGTAATATCAACATAGTTTAATGAGCTAATGTATACATTACACCTACCAACTCATTAAAGGGTACATTATCCGAGGCTTGTGTGAAATATAAATGTTACCTATGTATTGCCGACAACAGAGATACGATGTAATTAGTTTTAGGTTTTTGTTATGTCATATTTCTGTCATGTCCTGAAATGTATAATGAATCGAGTGTGCTTTAGACCACATGACTGAAGTAAAACTTCTTGGCTATGAAAGAAAGAGAGCAAGAAAATGTGTGCTCGCAGCTCTCTCTTGCCTCTACAGTAATGTACGAAACGTAACTCTTTCTCTTTCTATCTTCACTAACTTATATCTCCCTCTCAACTTCCGTTTACCTCGCCCAATCACACTTTTCGTAACGCTCTCGTCACGCATTCACCAGCTTACTCCTCAAGTCAAGCGTTGTCAAGCGCGTCAAACAAGTTGAACCGACTTTTTTGAAGAGTTCCGTTGTCTGTCTACGAAACTCGTTATCAGATCTATTTGAAATGGGACCATGTCGGATAAAACCTATTTCGATAAACGAGAAGAATTTTGGAAATCCGTCTTTATATGACGGACTAAGGCCCGAATATAACATAAAAAAAATTTTGATGTCGGTTAAAAATAGGAAAAAAATGTCTATTAGTGTTACTAACTAGATCACAGGTAATAACTAATATAACTAAAATAAATATGTGTCAGTCAGAATGCTTGTTTATTAATTCAACGAAATCCTATTACTTTGTCATTACAAACAGACACTTAAATTTTATTTATTTGTATAGATTATGTCGTGGTTTCCTCATGGACCAACTATGTATGCACAACTAGTTGTGTCATGAGGAATATATTTTTTAAATCATTCCTATTGGCACAACTAAATAATTTTCAATTAATATTTGTTCCTAGATACACATCTAATTTCAATCGGTGTACAAAGGTTCATCGTTATGGTTATAAGTTCTTCCTCTTCTGACGTAGACATAGACATGCTTACAGTCAGGATATACGCCAGAGTATGCACGAAAATAATATATCAATGTTTTTTAAATAATTACTGATAATAAATGACATGAAATGGCATTTATAATTTTCTATTTGTTAATATACAAAGATATGACAGAAGTGGCCAACATAATCATCAATATCTGAAGAGGTTAGTAATAATCTTATTTATTTCCTCCTGTAGTTGTGCTAAAAGGAATGGTTATAGTAAATCAGTTGTGTTTAGTTGTGCATAGTTGTGTCATTAAGAACATACTCTGGGATGGCACAACTAGTTGTGCGTACATAGTTGGTCCATGAGGAAAACGGGGATTATGTTGCATATGTTTAGCGTAAACTAATAGTTTACAGAAAATTTTTAGAATACTGTTACGGTTATGCTAAAAGAGCCTCAGAACTGATCGTAAAAAAACATAACCAATCCAAATATCCAGTAAGTCACAAGGCACACCTATAATGATGCAACTCTGTAGGCCAAAAGGCCGTCTTGTTTTGTGTCACATTAAATGCTATAGGATATTTAATATATTAAAAAGGAAACATTGTATTCTACACATGCTTAAACTTTAGTAGTGTTATAAATTATGAATGTCAAGATAATTCAATAACCACAAAGTTAATATTAAACGAGTAACTACTTTTTACATTGTTTTACTTCAAGCATTTAATAGCATAAATAACGTCATCTGTGATGTAACTATGTACCTATAACTAGCTGGTACTTGCGACTTCGTTCTTCGAATTTGAAAAGCGCTGCCTTAGTGGGTTCGATGCCATGGGCAAAATTTTATAGGGTTTTTCTGAGAGGAAAAACAGCCTAAGCTATTCCTTATATAGACAGCTACCTGGTAGTAAAATATTATAGAAATCAGTCCAGCTGTTTAAAGGATTACCCAAAACATACAGACAGACAGACAGACAAACAAAAAAAACTGGTTTTTTGGCATAGGTATCGTGCAAATAACCGCGTGAGTATGAAAAAACCTATAATTTTGACATTACAAACAGACACTTCAATTTTATTTAATTGTATAGATTTATAACCTATATTATTATTATATATAATAAATATAAGTTAAACAGCCATTGCATACGTATGTCAAAGATTCTAATAACTGTCTATATTTTTTACTACGATTGATCGACTTGCAAATATTAGTAGTAAAAAAATGTTTATGTTTTGTATGGAAGATAATATTTACTTATTGCAACATTAATATAATAATTAACATGGGAGAACCACGAGATCGATACCGAACTCACAGCAAACCTGTATTAAGCAATTCGTCACTGAGTGAGTGAGGTTGTGAGAGCCCAAACCTCCCTCCCACTGATTCTGAGACCAGGGCTCAGGGATGTATATGGGCGGCGGTAGTTACTCACCCTCAGGTGATCCGTCCACTCGTTTGTATCCTTATACCATAAAAACCCTACTCTTGTATGCAGTCAGCTATCACAATGAACTTGAGATTTCCAATTCCTACATCGTTACTTTACTTATAATTAGTGTTTAATGTTTATAAGTCTAATTGTATCACAATGAACTTATCACTATGAATAAATTCACAATATTCTACACATGTCTTCCATTATGCATCTCATCAATTCCAATCAGATGAATAAATTAAACAGGTGTGATGTGCAAGCTAACTGGAATTTCTATATGAATATGTATATGTTTGTTTGTTATGGGATTCTAACAAGAGCAACAGTGATAGCCACGATAAGCTTTTTATCATCATCATCATCAGCCAGAGAACCGTATTACGTTTCTTTATTTTGGTAGATTCTACCAATAATCTACCAAGGCGATCTAGTAATTATCTGAATTAAGAAAGAAAATCTATGAAAAATTATCTGCTGACGTTCAGGTTTGACGTCTTTGAATTTATTTGGGGGCAGTTCAGAGTTGACTCGAATATTGAATACACCTCTCTTGACATTAGATGTATTTAATTGGTTCTACTCAAAATTAATCACTACCGCAACATTTAACCAGCAAACCTTCTTTGAAATTAATATATAAACCAAATTCATTTAGTCTCTGAGGTTGCAAATAATTATAGATTTAAATGGTTAAATGCAAACTTTTCTGTTACAGATCGGTACGACTAGTGAAAGTCCTCGGCAAGAAAATAGGAGAATTTCTAGTCAAACTAACAGAACAAGGGCTTCAATCCGAAAATATTGAACTGGTTGGTGCCAGTCTAGGAGCTCACGTAGTCGCCCATGCAGCTAAATACTTCTATCAGGCCACTGGAAGAAAAGTTGCAAGAATAACTGGTTTGGATCCTGCAGGACCTTGTTTTAAAGCTCTAAGTCCCGAACATAAATTATATAGGACGGACGCAGACAAAGTTGATATTGTACATACTAATATAGATGGTTTTGGTACTGCTGAAACCCTAGGTCATTTAGATATTTATGTTAATGGAGGGGAATTCCAACCTAGTGATATACCTTATATACCATGTCTTGTAATTTGTAGCCATGTCAGAGCTTTGATATATTGGTGGCAAGCCTTGGAACATCCCAAAAAGTTCATAGCTGTAAAGTGTAACAATGTTCAAGAAGCTAGATTTGCTCAATGCTTTAATAATTCTCAGACTAACTATTTAGGTGTTGAAGCCAAATTCGACAGGCCTGGCATTTATTATTTAGCTACCGATAATGAGTTCCCATATTTTAAGGGGAAAAGTGGGTTGAAAGCGGCAAATGAAATTTTTACGAAAAGTACTCGGTTAATTAACTCTGATGACAACTTCATTGTTTAGCGAATAAAATAGAGTAGACAACATACATCTTATGTGAACGCTACGCTCTGCCTAATTAATAATTTAGTACGTACGTCTTTCGTTGGATATCCCAGTTCTAGAGCTACAGGAAGGCTATACGAGAAGGCGATCTCAATCTAGTTCCATTTCCCCATTCGAGATTTAAGGTATCCCTTGCATACACCATTTTTTTTTACCATAGTTTGTCCGTCATTTGCAGAGACTCGTGGCTAAGTGGTAACCATTGCACGTTAAGCTGTGTTCGCCTCCGTTGTCATACTAACAACAAAGTCCGACAACAGACTATCTACAGAAATTCAATATCGCCTTTTACTTGGGTTGTGGAGTGTAAAATTCAAAGCTCAACCGTAACCAAAGTCTTTACAATTCTTCATATTGTAGCCACCATAAATAGAACTGGTAAAAGAGCTTAAACATGATGGTGATCATTTAATAGGTCGTTCAAAGTTATTATTTCTAAGTCATATAACTCATAAGTAATCGGTCTTAGCTCTTAGCCGTCTAAAGAAAAAAATCTTAGAATGTCATTCACTAACCACTAAAACCATTTTCTTTCGGTGGCCGGCACTTTTTTTTGGGTACTTTTTGCATGGAGCGTAAATGATGTCCTTTAGTTTAAAATCAGTTTCAATGCAAGTTTGCGGTAGAATAAAATAGCACGTCATGCATTTGTGTGTTTTGAGGCAATTAGCATAAATACTTGCTGTCAACCAGGCAGCGACCAGGCCTATGTCCAGCAGTGGACTATTAAAGGCTGTTGATGAGGCACATATACAATATCTAAATAAACATACTCACATATTTTAAAATATAAAAAATAATGCTTAAATATAAAAAAAAGGCGTGAGGGTTTTATGGACCCCGGCCGGAATGAAGTTCCTTTCGCTTTTTGGTAGACGTTTGCTATACAGTCATTATAATTTAAATTATAAAATATCAAGTTAATAGAGTTAAATCGAAAAATATAAGATAAAATATATTAATTATGTGTAAAATAAATAATGATAAATTAATCACTGAATACGTGGTCATCATGGTATAGTAAGCTAAAACCTCCTTTTTAAGAAGAGGACTATGTCCAGCAGTGGACTATTATAGGCTGTTGATGATGATGAAACACTGAATGATCTGAGATAATTAAGTTAATAACAAATAAAAAATTAGAAAAAGTTCATACACGGTTGTTACTATAGCAATAAGTGTCGGAAAAAGTCTTGTTACACATTTTTCGATCTGGCTCCCATCCGCTCAGAGCGTGTAACGCTCGGTAAGGAACTTCATTCCAATACTTTATTTATATTTAAGCACGTCTATTATCGTTCCTTTTTTTCAGTGTTTCGTCATAATCAAATTAGAATATTTATTCAAACAAAACAAGCGAAACAGCAAAATATTTTGCTCCATCCCTTCATCAATAGTATTATTATGTAAATGTTACGATTTTGTTGAACGAATGGCGCAGAGAATATTATTTGACGTCATCATGTATACGGCCATCTTTTTCACATCTGTAGATGTATTGAATGTCATTTACCTGGAGTGATTACTGTTGTACCTCAAATTGATTCGAACTGTATGCCGAGACAGCGTTGCTCACAACGAAATGTTCAAGTGCAATCATCACGCTTTATCGTCAACAGCCTTTAATAGTCCACTGTGTCGATACAGTGCTGGACATAGGCCTCTCCTTACGAAGAAGGTTTTGGCCTATAGGGTTTGTTTCAAGTTTTCCTTCTCTTTGCATTGCTGCAGTGCTCTGCGTGGTTTGTTCCCTCAGTCACCACATGGAAACGCTTGTCTTGTCTATATTATGTCTGGTGACTGCACAGATGGCGTAGTAGTTTAAGCGGTCATCTTGCCGCTTCCTGGTGCGCTGAGTGTTATGGGTTCGATCCCCACTTGCTTGGTATAATATTTTGTGTGAATCTGGGTGTTCTCTGAGTCAGTTTTATGTACATGGGTAAAGTTCCCTGTAACACAGGATATATTCCTTTACGTAATTCTATCGATTGGGTCTATCATCGATTACATCATGATTTAGTCTGACCAAATCAGTGTTTGACGTACTGTACAGCTAAATGCACTTCGTTATGAAATGCGTGTAATCGCGGCGGTCACCTATTTTGTTTTTTTTTAAAGCAAATAATGATGTGCAAATAAAACAAAAAAAAGGTCCGTGAAATGCCTTCACGAAAACTTAAGATATATTAGTTCCTAGTTTATTTAGAATGGTTAGTTTAATTTTTGGAAGAGAAGAGAAAGCAGATATATGTAAATGAAATTACAGGTTATGTTACTCGTAGAGATTCCCGTTCTGTCTTCCTTCTTTTCAATAACTTCTTTAGAAATGGAACTACACCAGACAAAGTGCTTTCCGAAGATTTTTGTTTTCCTAAAATCAAGGCTCATGTAGATTTTACAAGGCATTAATGAAACCGCTAGTGTTTCATATTTAATATTTTTAGGGTTCCGTATCTCAAAAGGAAAAAACGGATCACTTTGTTGTGCGTCCGTCCGTCTGTCTGTCTGTCAAGATCCTTGATCTCTGGAACGCGTGGAAGTATCCAGTTGAATTTAGCAATATTTCAATATTATCTGTGATACATTTCAACCAAACAAATAAATCATTAAAGTCTGTCAGTGCTCTTAGCTCGAGAATTGGTTTAAAATTTACCATGTAAACAAGAACAAAATTAATAAATCGACAATCTTGAAGCTCATATTTGTAATATTACCAAACATAGTTTACTATATCACTTAATATATATAAATATCGAGCTCAAATTTTGACACGATATACAACTCGCTTCAAATATTGTTTTTATATATTTTTTGCGTCAGTTTAGTCGTCATTTGTCATTAATGCAGGCAAGAGAAACAACTGTTAACTGGACTTAAACTAGATACATAATCTAATCTAAGTGGTAATCTAATCTGGTATGGTATATGGTAATCTGGTAATCTAATCTTGTATTAAAGGGAACGCTTTTCATTGATGTCTAATGAATAAAAATAAATAATAATAAAATCTAATGAATAAAACATACATAGCTATACTTATTTTGAGCAAGCATTGTATCTCTTTCCATCTAGAATAAAAAAATTGTCCATTATAATATACCTACGATTAGTTAGTAATTTACAAAGGTGTATGTGTACACTTATTTATAATATATATTTTATTGTTCGACACTGTGATTTTAGAATATATGATTATACAATGTAATTAAAATATTATTGTTTATTGTGTTTTTTATTTCTTATACTTGTTACAAAGAAATTATTTCCAGGGAACCAAAGTAGTTGCCTGGGGGTGACAGGTGAGGCCATCTGTCACCCTAACAGAAGCACGCCGGGGTAGCGGCAAGCGCGTTGCGAAGCGCGCTCGCTTCCAGGGAGCAGAGGGAACATGGGGTTCCCACACGGGAGGGGTCGTCTACTCGTCTGCAGATGGCCCGAGGTATGTCGGGGCACCAGGGACTTCCTTTCTAGGGTATACCTGGTTCCCCGGCTATTAGTACCCGAGACGGCATGCGGTTTTAGTCGGTTCGAGTCCGAAATGCCACCGATAGGAGGTATCCGAGGGGATTTCCGCACGAAAAAAAAAAAACCAAAGTATTAGTTTAGTCCCCAATACTTGAAGACGTAACTGAACCATATTTAAACATGTAAGATGTTTTTAAGGCATAGGGGCAAATGGGGTACCAGGGATTTCCTTTGTAGGGTACACCGGTTTGCGATTTTTGGTCGGTTCGAGTCCGACATAACCATCCCACCGGTGGGTACAAAAAAGGGGGCAAACGAGCAGTCGGGTTACCTGATGACAGCCGCCCATAGACACCTGACACTAGACGTCACAAGTGCGTTGCCACCTGTCAGCGCACGATCCTCTCGGTGTGATACTTATGGATATTGGCCCTTCGAGCCGGATTTGAACCAGCTACCTATGGATGACATAGGACCTTTATGGACACCACCTTTTTAGTCCCCCCTCTCAGAGTCAGAGGGAAGGGGGGAATTAGGTTAAAGGAACCTCACACACTCACTCAAGAGCAACAAAAGAATTGGTTAGCAACGCTCTTCTGTGAGGCTGTGATATTACTCCGTCTGGCCCCCATGTGCTGAAGTAGGACTCTCCCACAATTACCTAGTAAGAATTCTGTAGAAGTGGAATTTGTATGGTTATTTAAGGATCGTGTACAAAGTCTAAGGGAAGGGAAGGGAATTTGTTGAAGTGTACTGCTTGCATAACGACTTGCATGACACAATACTACAGTCCATGTGATGACGGCTTAAGAATACGGAGTGTCACCAATCCTATTCATCAAGTGGGTATCGTAAGGAGCCAACTACGGGAGCAAACTACGCAGTACAGAAGCACTGCAGAGGGAAGGAAAACTTAAGACAAGCCCTATACTAACCCGTCTGGTCAGCGTGTCATACTAGGCCATAACCTCATTTCTAAGGAGAGGCCTATGTCCAGCAGTTGTTGATAATGATGATGAACACTACGGATATTGCTTGTGAAGACGAGTTATAACTAAACTCATAAACAATTTATACTTGTAGGCCTTCAGCTCCCTTCTTCTAAAACACTTCTGATTTACAGAAGTTTTGAATTAAAAACATTGATCAAAGCAGGCTTACGAGGACAGACCGTTTTTTTTTATTTAGAACACTAAAACTGAATCCTCCATATCTCCCACTTCGTTGTTCTCCCCAAAGACATGACATAGAACACGATGAGCCAGGTGCCAAAATGAAAACATTTTGCATTCATTATGTACTCCAGTTTTAATCTATACAGCCAATGTCGGGGGACCCCGACAGGATTACCAAACAAATTGGATGATTTAAAATGTATTGTTGGCGGTTCTGTATAAAAAAAGGAATTTTATAATTTATATATGCTCACGGTATCTGTGAATCATCATTACAAATAATCTATACTCTATACAAATAAATTAAATGGAAGTGTT